AGCCTCAACCTATATAGTGTTACATTTCCACTGCGAGTTTGCACATGTGGTTCATTTTTAAGGTTCTCCCTTCACTACCTTGCTTCTGTCTCATGGAATCCTGGGATTTGCAGTTTATGAAAGAGAAATTCTTTATCAGAAAGTTCTAGTGGCTTGCCAAGCTTCAACTATGTTTTCATTGGCTTATAGTGCAATAATTGTGTAATGGGAAAGTGCCTCTGGTCTTCTAGATGGTATCTGAAGTTGCAAAGAAGAAGGTACTGTTCTCTGTATTATCACTAATCATATGCCCATCATATCCTCAGAACTACAGGAAGATGACAAGACAGATGACCAAGGTTGTAGCTAAGTGATATTTGAACTCTTCCCCTGTCTTTTGCTGTTCCATGTCCGTCGTTCTCTCTTATCAAGTAGTAACATCTTTGAGTAAATTATTCAAATCCAACTCCAGCAGTACTACTAATCTTTACAGTAATCCCATTGTCCAACTGCAATGTGCCAAATGGTTAGGAGAGCTTTCTATTAATTCTGCTAAGTGCAGTGAGGAAGGGGGAGGAGAAGCATTTAGTTTTAATAAATCAGTTCAATGGCCAAAAGAGGAATATATGATGGCCTGATTCAGGTGTGAAAATGTTCTCTGCACAGCTAAAAATAAACAATATCACACGTTAAATATATAAGTACAATGGATTCAGATGATATATATCCCTTGCAGTTAAAACAATTTAAGCTTAGTTTTACAATGTAACTAGGCAAGTGCCAGCAATACTCACATTTCCCAAATGTTTTACTGAAAAGGATTAAGTGACATACACTATTTGTTGTGCAGATCTTTCAATTCACTCCAGCATGGAATTGACTTAACAAGCTATGTTTTCAAGCTATTTTTGACCCAGCTCAATTACTGTATATGGAATTTTAAAATGTTCTCCCACCACTCACACAACAGATATCCAATGAATATCAATACTCATAGTTAGAAGAGTAAAAAAAATGTAGTAAATGCAGAGATTCTAAAAAAGACCAAACAGTGTTAAAGAACTGCATATAGTAACTGAGATAGATACTACCGTCAGTCCTCCACCTTTTCTAGGATTAGGGAAACAAGAACCCCACAAATGTAGAAAAATAATGAATTAAAAATCCACTTTTTTAACCTTGTTTAGGTCCTCTAGCATGACTTTATGTTTAACTTATGCTGGATGTTAACCATAGATTTGCAATAGAGGACATAAGAGATTCCTAGAGAGGGATTCTTTCTTAGAACCTCTAGGTGTTCCAGAACCTCTATGATTAACTTCCATTGCACTGGGGGATCTAGAGATTAATTGAAAGAACATTTAAATAAAATCCATAACTAATCAAATCCACAAAAGTCAAACCAGCAAGATGGAAGGGTTGGTTGTACATTTCTTATCTTAGCATATAAGGAGCCCCCGGTGGTGCAATGGGTTAAACCCATGTGCCGGCAGGACTTGCTGATTGACAGGACCGCGGTTCGAATCTGGGGAGAGCAGGTTGAGCTCCCTCTGTCAGCTCCAGGTCTCTGTGTAGGGACATGAGAGAAGCCTACCACAAGGATGGTAAAACATCAAAACATCCCCTGGGAAAAGTCCTTGCGGAAGACCAATTAACTCACACCATAAGGGACTTGCAGTTTCTCAAGACGCTCCTGACATAAAAGAAAATTAGCATATGACCCAGAGAATGGACTCTGTGACTTTTCAGATTTCATTGATTTTCAACTGACCATTCCTTACCACTGGTTACATTACCTATGGCTTCTGGAAGTTGCAGTACAGTAGTGCCCACCCCAATATAACCAATTACATAATCTCTATAGGCCTTTGTTGAACGATCCCTTAAATCCAGAGTGTCTCTCTTTATCAGTGTCTTCTAGCCTAGATATTAGTATTATCTCCTGCACTGTGCATAACAGCCTTGCTTTCTGAGCTTGTAAACCAGTTGGTATTCCTCAAGTTCACATGCCTCCAAAGGTCATGATATAATATTCTGACATCAGTTATCTGGATTACAGTCATGCCTCACTGAAGTAAGTGCACATTGGGTGTGGCCAGTTCAGTAAAGAGATATTTGATTAAAATAGGGTAAAATAATGGAAATAAAAAATGAATGAGAAAATTCTGTATTTTAGCACTACAATGGCAACACTATTTTTTAAATATTATCTTCATTTTTTTAATATTATAGGAAAATATTTTGAAAGAGAAGGGGTATGTCTGTTTCAAACCACCTCAAATATATGGTTCCATCCTACTGAATCCTGGGATTTGTAGTCTAGTAATTAGAACTCTCTGCTTAGAAAATATTGTGGTTGTCTACAAAGAATTCTAAGTACTTCAGCAAACTAAAAATTCCAGGAGGTTTTTTTAAATATGACAGTATTAAAAGACAATTGGAGACAACCACTGACTGTAACAATGGCAGTGTAGCTTTTAGTGTAGCAGTACAAAAAAGGAGCACACCTTTCAGACATTAATCCATCTACATTAACATTGTCATCATTGGTAGTTTCTATTTGGTACCATATCTTTATCAATAAATAAATATCACCAAGTCTGTTAGGAAGCCAGCAGGGTCATTCAAAAACTAAATCCTCAGACCCTCAAAGTCCTTCCAGAAATATCAGATTTCAGTCTTAACCAAAACCGAGGTATTAAATGTCAACTCTACTAAGTACACACAAAACCAACTAGATTGGAATCAAGTATAAGAAGTGTAAATACGTGTCATACAATATATATACCTATCCAGTAGATGCACACTTAAACACACATGCATGTTTAAGACAGACATGGGCAAACTTGGGCCCTCCAGGTGTTTTGGACTTCAACTCCCACAATTCCTAACAGCCTCGGCTGCTTAAGCAGCTGAGGGGGAAAAGGAAGGGGGCTGAGGCTGTTAGGAATTGTGGGAGTTGAAGTCCAAAACACCTGGAGGGCCCAAGTTTGCCTATGCCTGTCCTAACACCCTATTGTACAGGAAAGAATGAGGGAAAACCATCAATTGAAGCTGTCATTTTATAGGATAATCATAGCATACAATCATTGAATCATATTGGAAGAGACCCCAAGGGACATCCATTCCAACCCACTGCCATGCAGGGAAAAAAACATAATCAAAGTACCCCCAACAGATGGCCATCATGCCTCTGTTTAAAAAACTTCCACATTCTCAAATAGCTGAACAGTTCTTACAATCAGGACATTCTTTTTCCTAATATTTAGGTGGAAACTCTTCTTCTGCACTTTGAATCCATTGCTCCATGTTCCAGTCTCCAGAGCAGCACAAACGAATCCTGCCTTCCTCAATGTGACATCCTTTGAAATATTTAAACATGGCTATCATGTCCCCTCTCAGCTTTCTCTTCTTAAAGCTCAACACCCCCAGCTCCCTAAGCTGCTACTCATACGGCTTAGCCTCTAAACCTTTGATCATTTTGGCCACCCTTCTCTGAACACATTTTAACTTACTTCCTCAGAGATAAAGGCTACTTTGCTCAATACTCCCAGGTTGATGTGCACGGGTTTCCAGTCTGGAACACACGCTTCTGCTATGTATGCTATTATTCATGATCACCTCCAATGTGGTTATTATTATTTTTAATCAGGCTACAATGTATCAGTCTCCTTAAACAGTTAATCATGACATTGGAAGGAAACAACAGGTAAGACTGGGTTGCTGTGAGTTTTCTGGGCTGTGTGGCCATGTTCCAGAAGCATTCTTTCCTGATGCTTCACCCACATCTATGGCAGGCATCTTCAGAGGTTGAGGGGTCTGTTGGAAACTAGGTAAGAGAGTTTTATATATCTGTGGAATGTCCTGGGTGGGAGAAAGAACTCTTGTCTGCTTGAGGCAAGTGTGAATGTTGCAATTGACCACCTTGGTTAGCATCTAATGGCCTCGCAACTTCAAAGCCTGGTTGGTTGCCAATTGCAACATTTACACCTGCCTCAAGCAGACATGAGTTCTTTCACCCACCCTGGACATTCCACAAATATATAAACCTCACTTCCCTAGTTTCCAACATCTGAGGATGCCTGCCATAGATGTGGTGAAATGTCAGGAGAGAATGCTTCTGGAACATGGCCATACAGCCTGGAAAACTCACAAAAACCCAGTGATTCCGGTCATGAAAGACAACAAACAGGTAAGACCATTGGAAATAACACAATGCAGTACTGAGGTAGGCTAGAGGCAAAAGGGGATCCAGGGTGAGTAGACACAGCATTGCATTCCAAAACAAACAACTGACAAGCCTGGAAACCCCATTGGGTGAAGGAAACAGCCACTCCTTTGCAGAAGGCGTGTATGTCTTTCCAGGGCCCAAGAAAGGCGAGCTGGCTGCTCTCAGGCCAGGTAGGCCGAGCACGTGACCACGGAGCCCGTCTCTCCTGGAAAGAAAGGGGCGTGGAGGGAGGGAGGGAGGGAGGCAGCCAGGAAGGGAGGGAAGGAGGAAGGCCGCCTCGCCATTGTGTGCCTCGGCCACTCCTGCCTGGAAAGCAAGCCTTAGCACCATGGACAGCGAACCGGAGGCCCCATACAACCTCACACAAGGGAGGGAGGGAGGGAGGGAGGGAAAACATTGGGCATCGAGACCCACACATACATAGATCAAGCTATGTTGCAACGTAGAGAGGGGCTGGGATGCTCCCTCTTCTTCCTGGGAAGGCAGCAGGGGCATGGGAGGGCAGTGGGGCGAGAAGGGTGGCCCAACGGGAGAAGGGAGGGAGGGAGGGAGGGAGGAAGGAGAAGGGAAAGGAAGGGAAGGGAAGGGAGGGAAGGAGGAAAGAAAGGAAGAAAAGGAAAGAGAGGAAGGAAAGAGGGAGAAAGGGAAGGAAGGAAAGACAAAAAGGAAGGAAGGAAGGAAGGAAGGAAGGAAGGAAGGAAGGAAGGAAGGAAGGAGGGGAAGGGAGGGGATGAAGAAAGGAAGAGAAGGGAAAGGGCGAGGGTGGCGACTCGAGGGCTCCCCAACCTACCTCCAGATCTGGCCCAGCTGCAGGATGTGGACGAGGCTCTGGAGGAGCCAGATGCAGAAGGCGCAGGAGGCGGAGCGGCCCTTGGGGGCGTGGGGGGCGCCACCGCCGCCGGGGTTGTTTCCGCTCCCGGGCCCCGAGGCGGGGTTGCCCTTGCCGGCGATGGAGGCCTGCCTCTGCGGCGTCCCCGGCCGGGCCCCTGCGTCCATCTCCGCCGCCGCCGAGCCGCTGCTCACCAGCAGCTTGGTCTCTCCGTGCCCGGGGCCCGAGGAGGCGGAGGCTGCGGGCGGCGAGGAAGACGAGGAGGAGCCCTCCTCGGCGCCAAAGTCGTGGACGAACCAGCGGAAGCTGAAGACCTGCACCGAGAGAGAGCCGAGCAGCACGAAGAAGAGCGTGAGGCCGAACCACCAGCGCTGGCCCCGCAGGTAGTAGTCGGCGGCCAGCCAGAGGTCGGTGCCCACGTCGGCGAAGTAGACGGCCACGGCGGCCAGGATCCAGAGCCCGTCCCAGAGCGAGTAGAGGCGCGTCTCGCGGCCGAGGCGCAGGCAGAGCGAGGAGGAGCCGCCGCCCGAGCCCCGCGGGCCCCGCGACGACGCCTCCCCGCCGCCTCCCGCGCCGCCTCCGCCGCAGCAGCACCGGCAGCCCCCTCCTCCTCCTCCTCCGCCGTGCCTCCGGTGGCTGGAGCTGCCGCAGCAGCAGCCTCCCCCTGCGCCTCCGGGCGCCTCGTCGTCCTCGCCTCCCGCGCCGGCCTCCGAGGAAGGCAAGCCCGCCGAGGCCAGCGCCGGCACCGAGCCCGAGTGCTCCGAGTTCTGCAGCGGCGTGAAGGCCACCTCGCTGCCTTTCTTCATCTTCAGCCGGCCCCCGTCCGACTTCGCAGCCATGATGCCAGGGAAGGGAGGCGGCGGCGGAGGAGGCAGAAGGGTCCCCTCTTCTGTCCGGGAGAGGCTTTCCCGCCGGGCCCCGCCGACGGCGAGGCGCGCCCCTCTCGCTCCTTCTCCTCTTCCTCCTCCTCTTCCTCAGCCGCCCAGCCCCAGGCGGCAGCAAGAGCAGCCGCCTGGTCCTCCCAGGGAGCGCTCCCCGAACCGGCGGGGCATCCTCGCCCGCCTCGGCCTGGCCCGCCCCGCCGCCGCTGCTGCTGCTGCTTTGCCGCCGTTGCCTCCGCCGCCGCCACCCAGCTGACTGACGCCGGGAAAGAGGATGACCTCATCCCTCTCCCTCTCCCCCTCCCCACCCAGCCATCCCCCTTCTCTCTCTCTCTCTCTCACACACACACACACACTCAGAGAGACGCACGCGCGTGGAGGGGAGGGCCGAGGAGGAGGAGGAGGAGAAGGGCGCAACAGGAGGGGAGGGGGCGCTTGAGGAGGGGCTGCCGAGGGGAGGAAGGATGTCGGAGGGGCCTTGGCGTCTCCTCAGGGCGGGAGGAGGGGGTGTGGCCTACCAGGGAGAGAAAGAGAGAGAGATACGCACACACAGAGAGAGGTGTATGCCTGTATTCGGCCACCGGTGAGAGGGAGGGGAAGAGGGCGTGACGGCATTCAGAGGCGAAGAGGCAGCGCCCGTTGAAGGCACCTGGGCTTCTCCATCCTCTTTCGCTCCAAGGATACTGGGCTCGAAGGGGAAGCTGACGAGGGAGCAGTGAAGATGGGCGAGGAGACGCTGGGAGGCCTGGAGGGGGGGGTGCTAACTGGACCCCGCCTGTCCCTCTCGAGGGGAGGGCGAGGCACAGCGGCTGCCTCATTACCGCTGCTTTGTCATCTCAGGCCGCGTGGAGGGGAAAAAAAGGGGGTGGGTGGGCTAGGCAGCAGGTGGCGTAAGGGGCGGGGGGAGGAGGAGGGGGGGAGGCTCGCGTGCCACCAGAGCGCCCGGCCTCTATTACAGCAGGGATGCATTATATATGTGTTCCGAGAGGGAGGGAGGAATGGGGAAAGGGGCGGGCCCTCCTGGGAAGCCTGTCTCGGTTTAACGCCTCGCTCGACGCTGGGGAGGCTGAGGGGGGCAAGGGAGGGGGGAATGAGACGCAGGGGAATCGAGTGCAGTAAAGGGCGGGGAAGCGGGACTTCCTTCGCGCTGCTTCCCGCACAGCAGACGCCCTTCTCCCCTCTTCCCACAAAGCCAAGAGAGACCAAGGGGCGGGATTGGGGGCGCCTTCTCCATTTACTAGCCCAGGCATGGGCAAACTTGAGCTCTCCCTCCAGGTGTTTTGGACTTCAACTCTCACCATTACTAACGGCCTCAGGCCCTTTCTCGCTTAAGCGGCTGAGGGGGAAAAGGAAGGGGCCTGAGGCTGTTAGGAATGGTGGGAGTTGAAGTCCAAAACACCTGGAGGGAAGGCTCAAGTTGGCCCATGCCTGGGCTGGCCTGTGCCCAGTGATATATATATCCACAATTTAAGAGTTAAGACCCCAAAAAGAGGCAACAGACTCCTCCTGAGCATGCCCAGAAAACGTGTCCCTTCCAGATGGTGCATCACTTCTCCAGAAGTCCAAGATGTTGTAAAATCCATGGCCACATCTTTGTTTGCAGATATACATCAACTTTGCTTCACTTACAATCTACAAGAATGGCCTGCCTCAGCGGAGTGTGCTTGCTCCATCAATGTCACTGCCAGACGGAACAGAAAATTTCATCTATGCTGAAGATCGCACCATCACCACTCAAACAGGGAGCTTTGAAATGGTTGAACAGAAGCTCTCCAAAGCATTATATGCTCTTACTTCCTATTACAGGCAAACCCAGCTGATTCCTAATCCATCTAAAACACAGATGTGTGCTTTTCGTTTTAAGAATAGACAAGCATCTTGAGCTCAGGATTACCTGAGAAGGAATCCCACTAGAGCATTGCAGCACACCCAAATACCTTGGACTGTGCACTGACCTACAAGAAGCACTGCTTGAATATCAAGCAAAAAGTGGGTGAAACAATAACATATGAAAGCTGACTGGCACACCCTGGGGTTCACAACCAGATACAGTGAAGACACCTGTCCTTGTGCTTTGCTACTCTGCTGCTGAGTATGCATGCCCAGTGTGGAACACATCTCACCATGCCAAAACAGTGGATGTGGCTCTTACTGAGACATGCCGCATTATCACAGGATGTGTACGCCCTACACCACTGGAGAAATTATACTGTTTAGCTGGTATTGCCCCACCTGGCATCTGCCGGGAAGTAGCAGCCAATAAAGAAAGGACCAAGACAGTGACATCTCAGACCCATCCTCTGTTTGGATATTGGCCAGCATGCCAATGCCTTAAATCAAGAAATAATTTTCTAAGATCTACAGAGATACTTGCAGTAACAACTCAGCAAGCGAGAGTCCTAAAGTGGCAGGCTAAAACCCAGAATTTCAAGCCATGGATGATCCCAAATGAGAGACTCCCCCCTGGGCATACTGAATACTGGGCAACTTGGAAGGCGCTAAGCAGACTGTGCTCGGGCACCATGAGATGCACATCCAACCTTAAGAAATGGGGCTACAATGTGGAGTCCACAACATACGAGTGTGGAGAAGAGCAAACCACAAACCACCTGTTGCAATGCAGTCTGAGCCCTGCCTCGTGCACAATGAAGGACCTTCTTATAGCAACACCAGAGGCACTCCAAGTGGCCAGCTACTGGTCAAAGGACATTTAGTATAATGCCAAGTTTTTGAACTTTATGTTTTTACATACATTACATCTGTGCCCTTGGTTCACTTCTGATATGATAAATAAACCTACAACCTTATCTAAAATGCTGTGTATGAAATTATCTTCAGACCAGTCTTACGAAACATGAAAGAGTTCTTTCATGCATTATTTTGCCTGATCTGTTTCTTTTGCTGAATTAAGAAAATCAATGAAATCTTGCCACTTAAGAATAGGGGTGACATAAGCCAAATAAAATAAAATGTCAAACCGAGTTCCTGTCCAAGTCAAAGTTACAGCATGACAAAATCCTTCAAAGCTTGGGTCACCTGGTCTGAAGGAGTGCCTCTTCCACAGAACCTTGGTAATTGTAGTGGTGTGAATTTTACAGTATAGATGCACCCATAGATTCAGAAGCATCACCAAGGTTATTGTCACTTGTGGTAATTTCTCTGCCAATTAATTGAAAGAGGAAACAAATAGTCACTGTGACATAGAGGATGAAGTACTGAATTTCTACTTATCCTTGAAGAAGAAGAAACAGAATTCTAATTTTCATTTTTAGCTGTTGACATGCAAAGTAGTCAAACTTATTTTAAGGAGAATGTGTATTTCCTGAAATTAACATGGTTTCTATTCAAAAGCAAAAAATGCATCTTGCCTAAACTCTGAAACTTTTACCTCCCATTGCAAAACTGGTGCCACTACAGTTGGCGTAACCATTGTGTTTTGCACCCCCTTGCACCTCCTACTGATGCTCCAGCTAAAAAATTGCTCAGTGTTTCAGCATCCTTCTGATTAGACAACTTGTCTACATTAGCAGTTGCACAGCACTCACTGTGAAATCACACTGACATTCCAAACGATTGGAAATTGCAGGCTATATTAAGGATCACTGCTAGAGTATATTTCATTTATAAATCAAATTAGCTATTGATTGTGTGATTTTTAACATGTATAAAAATAATCTGAAAGCCATCCATGTATACCAGCTTCCATGTTTTTCTGGTTATACAGCGGGAACTCTGCTTGTATTATTATGGTTTCTCATTCAACATGATTTTTCTCTTTATTTCAAGGATGATATTTACAGTCAAGATCTACTTGGAATATGTCCCTATAAAGTTGTTATTTAAATACGGATAAATATTTTTCTTGATTTTATTTTCATCAAAAAAATTTCAAACTTGTGACAGTATGTTGCTGTTTTATATAAATTATACTAATGAAAGAAAAGGTGTGTTTATCTAAATCCAGACCATTTTAAAGAGAGATTTTTAAATCTCTCTTTCTAGAGAAGAAGGGCAGGGATTCTGTACAGTTCCATTTGTCTCTAGGAGGCATTGAGCATAGTAAGGAGCCTTTGTTGTGTTTTTAGCAGGGATCATGTCAAAATTGTTCTACACAGCATTCATCTTCAGTTGCCTTTAAATGCAAAGGAAAGCTATGAGCGATGAGAAGATGAGACACTGGAAACCTTGTTTTTCTCTTTCTCTTCTAGAGCTTTGAAAAACTCCAGGTGCATTAGTATGTTTTTGTTTTGTATGTGTGAGTACTCTTTATTCTGTTTTAGCAGTTTTCTTCATTTCATCTTTCCCCAATTATCTTTATTTGGAAAGCATCTGTTTAATTCCTTTGCTTTTCTCTGTGTTTTCTGTGAATGTTCTCTTAACTCATGCAAGGCCACCATTTGATTTAATTTTATTTTAGGAACAGGCATTTGTTTTTCTAGTTTTTCTGTGTTGTTCTTAGATGCCTAACATTCCTTGGCTTGAATTTCTTTCTGAATTTTATACTTCCTTCCTATCATCCTCCGTAAAATCAACCAACTCTTGAATAATTAGAGAATGTAAGGGCCCTCCTCATTTCAGATTGATTAGTTTTTCAGTATAAGACTGGTTCCTGTAATTGTCCATAGGTTTTTTTTCCTATGTATGTGGAATAAGGATAGGGATGAAGATATTACTGATATTTGAGACTAATTGTGAAGACACGTCTTTGGAAATTCCTAAATACTATCATAAGAAACTGGATCATGTAATGTGGAGTCCAAAAAGTCAATGTTTCTATGTTTCCCCTCCCGATTACACTAAAAGCCTAATTTTTGATGAATTAAGAGTAGGCCTGGGTAACAACGCAAAAATTTGTTTCTAAAATCGATTTGTAATTGGGGTGTTTTTTTGTTTCGATATTTAAAATAATTACAAAATTTTCCCTTAAAAAGTTCGGTATTTACGAAATTTCGTAAATATTTACGAATCGATTCGTTAAGATGGCGGACCCCCCGCGCATGCGCAAAATCACTTCCGAAGCTTCGTTATTGGCGCGGGGTCGATTCGTTAAGGTTATAACGAATCGATTCGTTAAAACGGCGGACGCGATTGCGCATGCGCAAAAGCGACTTCCGAAACTTCGTTATTAAATACGAATCGATTCGCTATTAAAATAATAACGAATCGATTCATTAAAATGGCGGACGCGATTGCGCAATGCTAAATGCTCTATAAACAAAATCATTTCATAAAATAAATCAAATAAAATAATCAAATAGAACAAGATATTAAGATATTAAATAAAAAAGTAATAAGATAAAGTATCCAAAACTGAGTCAATTTAATAATATAATGAAATAAACAATAATATAATAATAAAATTTAAATAAATAAAATATAAAATAAATAATAATAATAATAAAAAAATAATAAATC